AAAGTACACCTCAATATAATGAATGGCTGAGTCAATGTGTTTCAATTAGGTAGCAATCAATTATGTGTCTCATGGACAGGAAGGTATATTCCAACTCTCTGAGTAGTTAAATATTCCATTGTGCTTCTAACTACCTATTTAATTCGTTGAATACCAATGTGCAATTAACATTACAAATAATCAAGGTTAAAAATATAATTAATGCAAGCATGATTTAGTTATAATTAAACTAATTACACAGATATGTAGCATAAAAAGGGACTTGCAGACCATTATGTGAATGCAAATTTATTCTTCCTTTCAGGAGCAGTTATTTGAATTTCATTTTCCAATTATTTTACAAATGATGGAATGGAATAATAAAAGAGAAAGTCTTTCATGGATAAAATATAATGAAGCAGTTACTCTGTAGCCCTTTGTAAATTCTGATTCTTTTGTCCACATGTACTTGTAAATAGAGAAGTTAGAATAAAATAAAAACCAAATACTACCACCATCAACAAAAATACCACATTTCTTATTCTGTGACTGTGGGGAAAATGAACCACACAACACCAGAGATTCAGTGCAATTTACTATGATTCCCTTTCAGATGAAGTGTACCCACAACTAGCTTTACACCTATAAGTCTCAAATATTCACTGAGATGGGGATCGCAGAGGCCCATAAATATAAATAAATTATATTTGTTATTTTCAAATAGATTTAGTTCCGAACATTTTCATCTGTTGACACAAGGATCCCCAACCCTTGCGCCATGGAGGAGTTCCAGCGCCTGTGCTGACAGGAGCCAGTCTGCACAGCAGAAGGCAAGTGTCAGGCTGGTGATCAAAGCTTCCTCTGCATTTCCAGCTGCTCCCCATCACTCATGTTACTGCCTGAGCCCCACCTTTGGCCAGATCGTTGTGACATTAGATTCTCATAGGAACATGAACCCTACTGAGAGTTGTGCGTGCAAGAGATTTATGAGGTGGAGCTGAGGCGTGATGTTAGCACCAGGGTGTGGCTACAAATACCAATTAGCACTAGCAAAGAGGTTTGACTACAGAGATACCCTAATAAATTGATGCTTGCAGGCGCAGAGCAAAACCCTACCAGTGAATGGTGAGTAGCTCTGCATTATGGTTAGATACATAATTATTTCATTATATTTATAGTGTAACAATAATGGAAATAAAGTATGCAATGAATGCACAGCACTTGAATCATCTCAAAATCTCTCCTTGTGGGCTGTGGAAAAATTGTCTTCCATGAAACCAGTCCCTGATGCCAAAACTGTTGGAGATTGATGACAGGAACTACAAACGTGTAAGTGTATTCTTTGCCTACCGAAAGCTGATGTAAGTGGGAACCAAGAGCCCTGCATAATTTCAGGGTGGGATAGTGGCACTAAAAGCAAATTCAACTCCAGTTACCTAGGGGTGGGGTTAGGGAACAGCCCCGTGTTTCATGAAAAGAGGTTGAGAAGAGATGCCTGGTGCTACTAGGAAGCTGCTCATTGTCCAAGCTAGGTTAACAGAGACACAGACAGGGCCAAGTTACCAGGGACAGGAAATAGGATATTCTCCACAGAACTGTGAGATGGGGACCCCAGAGGCCCAAAAAGCCTGGTTCTGTGCTAGAGATCCAGGGAATAAAAAGTCAAGGACGTCACAAAAATGGTAAGACAGAAAGTGACATCTCATGGGTAGGGGATAATGAGCAAGAGCAAAGACTCACTAGTAGCACAAGGTGGAAAAACCCCAGGCCACAAGAACATCTCACAGAAGACAGTTACACAAATAAATAATAAATAAATAAATATCCTCCTGATGAAGTTACATTCTTCTGGATAGATGAAACGATAAACTAGGATTTTATGAAACAAACTTCATAGCTAAATGGTACCTCTTAAATGCTCCAAATAAATTTCCACCTAACCCATCATCAAGGAAAAGCAGAAAAAGTATCAGAAAGAGGTTCTACTTCCTGAATTGTAATATAAACAATGCAACCACAGTCAAAGTACTGATTTTGCAAAAACAAGTTATCACTTTTTATGCCATCTGATAAAATGGTTCTTAAAATAATATGTAATAACAAAGTCCCCAAAATAGTCTAAGCAGTGGTAAAACTGAACTAGGAAGACAGCCCAGTAATGCACCCTGTGGGAAAAGTTAATGACACATTGTTCCAAACTACACAGCATGAGTACCTTGAGTACTTCAAGTTGAACTCATGTGACAAACTGACTCTACAGAACAGGCCATGTGGACCGCCTTGCCTTGTACATAGCAAGCCACAAGGTGTCTTCCCTGTATCCAGGCAAGAAGGTGACTTTTAACACCAGGGCCTAGAAGCCGGGGCCCACAATTGGTCTGAACAAGTAAGTTCAGGTCTGTAACTCTTCTCCTCCATGCGCCGTAAAACTCCTGTTCCCCCAGAGACACCCTTAAAATGTCCCACCCTAGAACAGAAACCCTTTGTCCCTTCATTATCCATAAAATTACCATTGTTTATCTAAAGAGTACAGAAGCATTTTCTTGGCTATTTCTTCAGAATTTACACCTTTCTTTAAAGCCTTGTGTACATATAATATTAATAAAACTGTGTCCTTTCCTCATATCAATCTGCCTTGTGTTAATTTGGTTCTTACCCTCGGCCAAAGAACTCACCTAGGAACAGAGGCGGAGGGAAAGAGTATCTGCCTCTCTGACACTGGGATGCATCCTGAAACATGAGGAATTCAGGCCAAACACCCAGCCGGTGGGAGGACTTGGTGTCTAATAGAAGAGCTGCTTCTAAATGGTGGACAAAGATGCTTCGTTTGGACTGGGGATATAGCTCAGCAGCACAATGCCTGCCAGGCAAGTGCGAGGTACCAAAAAAAAAGCTTTGCTTTGAAAATATTTTAAATGTCATTTGGACAGAAAATAATATTTCTACTCTACAACATACTCAAATATAAACTCCAAACCCAATGAATAAAAAAGAAAATGCAAATCTTTGGAAAAATCTATAGAGAACAGTTTTATGATCTCAGAAAGCAAAGAAATTGTTAAGTTTCAAAAAGTAGTAAGTTGAAAGGGGAACAAAATAAAATTGACATCATGGGAACTGGGAATCTCTGTATTTACAAATCTTTAAAGCAAGGTTAAAATAAAAGGCTCCACTGAAAAAAAATATTTAAACCCTGTAAAACATGCAAAAGATTAGTTCCTCTGAGAAAGAAGAACTCTTATATGAAGGAGAAACAAAAAGTAGCCTTGGTGACCAAGGGCCACAGAACTGGACTGACAGCTGGTGTAAAGGAAACAGAAAAGGGGCCAAGCACTGAAGTTCACGGATGATCCGTGAAGTGCAAAGAGCAGGGAAATGCCACACCCATCTACACAAGGAACGACAGCTCCTAATCACAGTTACAGAGGAGGATTATAAAATTGCTTCTGGAGTAATGAATATAAGTGAAACACCCAGGGAAATCCTTATCATTTCAATCTATAATTGAAATATGCATATCTCTTACTACACAAATGCCTACATTTACACACACAAACACACACCCAGGTAACTGACCAAATTAGAGGTAAACAAACAGGTATGGATGCATATTTAAATTAGATCAGCAGGGAATATCCAAATATTGACACTGGGTTGCAGGATGAAGGGAAATTTTGTGTCCATCCGATGCCTGACACATCAAAAGTGCACAATAAAAGTTTGATGATTCAAAGATTTACCTAATCGCTGAGTGATTATGATATTTCTGAACTGTTTTTTTTTTCAGTTACTGTGTTTGAACTCATACATAAAAATATAAATCTAGAGCAATATTCTCCAAGTCTCTCTAGGAATGATCCTCTTGTCCCCAGTAAACAGACTCTGAAATCAAATAAAGTCCTGAGAACTTCGTAGCTGGTCATGGTTCTGACCGTCAGAGTTTACAGGAAGACACACAGAGCTCTCATCACACAACTTCAAAGACAGAGCCTGAGATGGGTACCAAGGTACAGTGAGTTTTGACTTGGTAGAAAAATAAAAAAGAGCCATGTGGAAAAGAGGATGGGTAATGGGGACATTCAGGAAGGATGGCCCACGTGTGGCTTGTGCAGAAGGAGCCACCGGAAGATAGCTGCGAAGTTACAGGTGTAAGGTGCTCAGATACTGAATCGAGCTGCCTATGGGGCAAACTTGCAACACGAATCAAGTAGCACATCCAAGTATAGAGTTGGGAATCTCTTTGACAAAAAGAGAACTCACGGCAGGTGGAGCAGAGCAAGGGAAACAGACAGACACCCTACCAACCTGAGGGCCAAGCACATGCAGGAAGAGACGCCTAGGCCCCGTCCCTAGGGGAAAACTCGTAAGGTTTAGAAGGAATCGTGTGCTGTGGGAAACAGGAGCAGAAGAGCTGGCTTAAGAGTGACATGCAGGAATAGCACTCTCTCGTGTGTCTGTGTGTCTGTGTCTGCATGTGATTGTGTGTGTGGTTGTGTATGTTGCCCACAGTGCCTGTGCAGGTCTGTTGGGTGTGCAGAACACACACATGTGTAGAGCAAAGGGAATGAACGTTTTCTCACTCCTGTAGACCCTGCTGTCTGGGTGCTGAATGTGTTCCCAGCCCATCACAGCCACGACTACGGGAAAGAGGGGACCAGCAGCTCGCAGAGTAGGCCAGACGGTCCTCTGCTACCGCACTGAGTGGTGGGCACATGGGAAGCTTTAGCCAAAGGAGGAGCAGGAAGACCCAGCCCCTGGCTGCTTCCTGCCCACCTGAGTCACACAGCCCGTGCCTCCAGCATGTGCTGGGCTGCTCCTTCCCCTCGCCCTGCCGCTCTGAGACACAACCTCCCAACCATGTGCCCCATTCATTCATACCAGGAAACTCTTTTCCCTGCCGGGGAAGTGGCAATTACAGGGGAAATTTGGAGGAAGACGATGCTCCAGCTTTTATTGCATAGGATTCCCTGTGCTGAATTATTATCTCATGAGGTAGCAAAATGATTCCACCCCAATCTTACCCAGTAGGCGTCCTTACGACAGCGTGGCCTGAACTTGGGGAGACGTCACCGTTCAGCATTTTGAAGGTCGTGCTCTTCCCAGCTCCGTTCACACCCAGGAGCCCAAAGCACTGAAAGGAAATAAAGGCAGTGAAATAACACCTTAAACAGAGTACATGAAATGCAGGGAGAGCTGTGGTAGAACAGCACTTGCCCTGAGTCAGCTCTGAGTTAGTACCCTTGGTGTGCGATATTTTGCACGTTTAAAATCACACTATTGTACACAGTACTTTATGGATTTCGGGGTACTTTCAAAATCATCCTGACCCTTGTGTAGAATAAAAATCCCAGCATTATGTCATAGACAGGTAAGTTTATGTACGGAAAAAATCCAGGGAATGAGAAGCAAATGCCAACCTTCTCAAATTTGGCAGAGATAACCTGCAAGGCATGTGACTGTAGTTGTATCATTATTACCCTCCAGATTTTATTTTTCTACGTGTTAAAGTACTTTTTAAAATATCCCATCTTCCACTCTCCAACTATACTTTCTGTGTATGAGGTGGGGTTAAATTTTAAAGGTATTACAGTAAAAAGCACATTGCCATTAATTCCTCGCAGAATACCGCCCCTGCTTCTGATGCACCCCCATCCCCCTTGCCCCATTCTGCAGCGGCTCTGGATGACCTGCTTCCTGAAGGTCTTGACTTGCACTGTCTTGATTGCCTCAATGTCTTGAACTGATTCAAAACACTTCCCTCTCCTGGTCATTTTAACCTTTGGGGAAGAGCCAGAAGTAGCATCGTGCCAGACGCAGTTAATGAGGTGCATGAGGGCAAGCTAATGTTTTTGTGTGACAAAAATTTCTAGCAACATTTTTAGCCAGTTTAGGGTACCAAGGCTGCCATGAAAAGAAAACTCAGGAAAGACGACTCCAGAGATGCTTCAGAAAGCAGCAAGAACAGTGGAATCAGTGCGTTCACAGTGAGGAGGAGGATCTGAGCGGGATTCATGGCGATGCAACCGTTACTGTAATAATACTTTCTTTAAAAATTTAAACATTCATCGTATAGTTCTATCACACCCTATGTACGTGTACAGTTGGTATATTGTGCATGTATCCAGCTGTCTACCTTTCTTTTCCATTATAGAGATTATAAATTCACTCCTGACTCAGAACCTTGGCCGATCCTGACAGTGAGGAGCCAACCTCTGTCAGCTTATTTCCTGGGCCAGTCCCGCCCCGCACACCACGTGAAAAGTGCCTGCCGCAGCCCCTTGCCAAGGTCAGTCTCTGCCTCGGGCTGCCAGGCGCACAGCGCTTTCCCTCTGATTCGCCTTGGGCTGCTTCTGCTGACGGGAACTGGCCTTCCGGCTCCTTGCAGCTCGGAAAGTGACTGCTTTCTTGATTATCGTTTGTCACCAGGTCACACCTACCTATCACACAACCCTATTATGTACCTCTAGAGGCCAGCAACTCCCCAAACTGCCGTCTGCTTCAATGACCATGTGTCTCCCCATTCCCCCGGGTCATTCCCACCCTCTGAACTGAGTCCGTCTCATGCTGGGCCAACCTTAGACAAAAACAGCCAACTGGGCACCCGAGGCACCCCGTGGGCCTCAGCCTCAGCTCTGTCACAACCCTCTCCACATACCTGCCTCCACCCGCTGCACCCTCTAAGACACAAGGCCCTGACGGGGACAGCATTAGTGCACCTTTATTTGTGTCCTTCCTTAAAACAACGCTCGCACTCTTGGATCACATCACGTATGTTTACGATCCTTTGTTTCCTATGCAATTACCTATTCCAGGAGGGATGGGGCATACTGCAGTCATCTTTATATTTTCTGCAGGCTCTTGTGAAACACTTCCCATCTGGGTGATAAACCGTGCTGCTCATAAAAGCTTAGAGAGAGAGCCTGCTGTCCTCTGGATCTCAAATGTCCCGAAAGGCCCATGTGTTGAAGGGCTGGTCCTCAGCCCAGACACTGCTGGGAGGTGGGGCCTTGGTGGAGGACTCAGGTCATGCGGCTGTGACCTTGAAGGAGACGCTGGGACCTCACCTGCCTCTTCCTCTCCTTTTAGCATCCTGTTATGAAGTAACTGGGCTTCTTCCACCCTGCACATCACCCGTGCCACACAGACTCAGGGCAGGGGGCCAGAGGGTCCTGGGATGAAGCCACCAAAGCTGTAAACCAAAGGAAACCTTTCCTCTCTATAAGTTTGTTATCTCTGTTATTTTGTTCCAGACATGAAAAGCTAACCTGGACCTCCAAATGTAAACAGCATCTTGACTCACTCACATATGCAAACCATTCTTATGGAGCAGTACAGGTTATTTTCCCTTACTCCTTAGCTTAAGCTAACGCAGGAGTAGTTGCAAAATTGGGTTTAATTGATTTTGATGCAAGGGTAAGAAAATCAGTAAGACGGTTAAAATTGCAGAGCTGGTCTTTAAGCACAGGAAGTAATAACTATGAAAACATAGCTTTAACATTTTTGTTATGTTTGGCCAGATATTATTGTCCCGAGCAGAAGGATGCTGCTGGGTTGCTTCAGGTTGGTCTCTTGGCTCCTCCTGACCTCGGAAAATTCCTGGCAGAAGCAGGTCCTCTCTGCTCACAGGCAGGGATGAGTGCCAGCCAGATGACAGGATAACCCACTTTGGATTTCTCAGGAGAGTGGAACAACAAGCACACAAGGTGCTCTTTTATTTTTAACAGTTAATTAAAGGTAATCATTTCCAGCATTGATTTCCCTTTATGCATAAGTACAAATCAGGAACAATCTGTATGGCTTCTGTCAGTTCTGATTAAAGATTTCTACGAGAATTAATGCCATGCTGATGGGAAAGTGTTCTCCCCTATGGCTGCGGCGTGTGTGATTTAACTTTCCTCCACGGCAGTGTTTTACTGGATGGGCTTAACTAGACACTCAAAGAATACTGAAGCCCCAGTCAGTGGTTTCCTTAATTAACTGGACTTGTCCAATGATGGCATTCAATAAAAAGTCAACCCATGGCCAAAACCGTTCTTAAAACTCCCCAATTTCATGAATTTTTTTTTTTTTTTTTTGGTTTTTCTCCGGTACCGGGAACCGAACTCACGACCATGCGCTTGCCAGGCAGGCGCTTTTGCCGCTGAGCTAAATCCCCAGCCCAATTTCATGAATTTTAAACATTGTGCAACAGAAAAGCTATGTAACCCATCAGTGAAGGTTTCACACTAGACTAAGTCAACAGACCCTCTCCTCAGTTCCCCTTCTACGATGGTGGCAATTCCTGAAATTTGAAGGCTGTGGTTCCAGATATTCTGAGCATACCACAAGCAGATCAACAATTAGAGTGATATAGATTCACAACAGAAAAGAGTGTAGAAGAAAAGCTTCATTACCTCTCCTCTTGGGATCCCCAGACTGATATCTTGCACAGCGGTGGTCTTCCTAAAAAAGCTTCTGTAACTTTTACTCAGGTTGTGCAGCACCAGAATGTCTCCATCGGTCTTTCCTTCCAGCACCCTCCTTTGCTCTTTTTCAACGTCTGGGTCCGCAGAACACTTGCCGGTGCTTTGGACAGCAGCGTGACCCCTGAGGGTAGAGTTAGAGTTCATTCACACCTGGGAAAAGACTGGAAAAGCTTACGAGGGACAAAGGTGAGACATCTGGTCAAACAGGAGCCAGGACCTCAGGTCTAGTCAGTAGTAGCTTCATGCAGAACACCTTTGCCCAGTCATACTGATTACCAAGCTCCAGCAAAAATGACCACACTCACTAATCTGTAGGAAATACACATGGCCCTTACAGACTCTGAAATAGATCGACGGTAAATTCTAGATAATGTCACAGCTTTACAAATAATAGAGTCATGCCATACCTTAAGCTGAATGTAAACAAACCCAGCAATTATCATATTATTCGAAGATATCAACTTTTAGAGATGCTTTTAGTAAACAGCTCCTTTAATAAAATAAATTATATATAAAAGTAACCAAATAGTACATTTCTAGTACAAGTTGGATTTTATAAAAGAGTTGTATAACTGTCACTTTACAGAACATCTTGCAAATATTTGGTATTTGCCAGAAGAACACAAATTTTATTTTGAGTTCTAACTGGTTTGCTCTAAATCTGAACTGCTCGTTTTTTGTTATTATTTTCAGTCTGCAGCATTTTAACTTTCAAGTGCATTTCCATTTCCCCCCATAAACCGTAATATGGGAACACTTTAAGGACTAAATAGTTATAGACTGCTGAGTAACATTCAGCAAACAGGAGTGTCCTGACTTTTACAGAGTAATATTGTTGTCATATTATCGTAGAAAGAAATGGAAGAAGGTATTGAGAGCTTAATTTTGCAAGTACTTTCAGTTCTTAAATTATTTCAAAACAAAACGTTATTGATAAAACAAGCTACAAGTCATCATAGCCCCATTTTCTCTGTTGTTTTTCTTTGCCTGATTTTTTCACTGGTATTAGGGATTGAACCCAAAGCCTCGACACTGAACTCCACCCTGAGCCACATCCCCAGCCCTTTTCTATTTTTCATTTTGAGACAGTGTCTCATTAAGTTCCTGTGCTACCCAGGCTGTGCGTGAACTTGCAACCTTCTTCCTCACCATCCCCGAGCGCTGAGATTACAGGATGCACCAGGCCTGGCTTGACGAAAACATCATTTGTTTTCTACACACACAGTAGATGATGTGCTTTGGATAGCAGCGTGACCCCTGAGGGTAGAGTTAGAGTTCACTCACACCTGAGAAATGACTGGAAAAGCTTACAAGGGACAAAGGTGAGAAAATACAATGAATGGGAGTGTATATTATATGACATCATTTATACAACATTTAAAAACATGCAATGGGGGTAAAAGTAAGAACAGCCACTCCTCAAAGACAATTACCGACTGGCAGAGGGTGGCAGTGGCATCAAAGGTGCTGAAAGTACTCTACTCATCGGTCTGAGAATGGTTTGCACCAGTGTGCTCAATTTGCAAAAATCCATCAAATCCCACACTTTCCTGCCTGAATGTTCTATTTTCCTTCCCTAGGTGAAGGTCTCAACCCTTTCACCTGTGGTGGGCTTTTCTTTGAGGTCTTTTCTCTCTCTAATGGATCATGCCTCCACTATACCCAGCCCCAAGATCTGTCCACAGCTGCCCACCTCAAAGCTCCCATGCTCCTCTCCGGAGGACCTCCTCCCTGGTCTGGCCCAGAGCTCCCTGTCTCAGGGACCAACAGGAGCCCAGGTATGCACACCTGTCTACATCTCCCCAAGCCATTTTGGTGGGTGGAAGACAAGTGCCTGAGGCTGAAGATTCTCCCACAATGCAAGATCCTAATTCATTCGCCTATGATCATCCAGGTGCACCTTCCAGCCTACAATTGCAGTAACTGGTGCCTACAGGAAAGAGGATGGAGTCATACAGCACACTAGATATGGCAGAACTTTTGAGGCACTCTGCATATGGAATATCTGGACCACATGGCTACTCTGACTCAGTTGGCATGCAGGACTCAGTGAGCAAAGCCCAGGTCCAGACTGAAGAACAAGCAAGAATTCCCCATGCCCACCTACCCCACTAGTTTAGGGCAGGGTCTCTCTGACCTCCACACAGAGGGCACAGTCTTCCCTTTCTCTTCCAAATTAACTATGAGATGTGATCTAAAAATACAGTGGATATTTAAATTTGTTTAGTGTATTACAGTTAAAAAAAAAAAAAAAAAAAACACATCCCAGGAACCTCCTTTGAAATCTCCCCCCTTTGTTTTGAACACACTTATCCCATGGTATTTGTCACTTTCTGCAGCAGCTCTGGAGTCCTCTTTCCTAAGTGTCTGCCTGTCCTCAGTCAATTCAAAGCCTTTCCCTCTCACAGTCACCGTGACTTTGGGGAAGAGCCAGAATCACAGGGAACCAGATCCAGTGAAGGAGGTGGACAAGGACACAGTGTCATGTTTGTAGGAGCCGCCCTCCTGTGGGATGGCGCTTGACAGCAGCATTCACCATTTTTTATCACTTCTCGCAAAGACATTCAGGAAAGAGGACTCCGGAGCTGCTCCCAAAAATGACAAGAGCCATGGAATGAGTGTGTTCTCCAAGGTGGGGGGTGTTGGGGGTGGGCTCAGAGCAATGTGTCTTACTGTCATCATTTTTCTTGCCGAGTGTTTTTACAATTCCTTTTTTTTACATTTTTGTTAGTCCTTGCTTGCCTGTATAACAGCCACATTCATCATGGGGGCTTGGTACATGTACATAATCCATCTTAAAGTCACTGTATATTTTGATCACCCCTTTTATGAAAAGTGTGTTTTTCCTACAGGAATTGCCTGTGGACATGATTACCACATAAATACGGCAGCTGTGGCCTGCTACAGAAAAAAGAGACCAGGACACACTGAGAAGGACCAAAGCTGCCCAGGAGGCAGGGTGGGACAGAGGCAGTGCCGGGGGTGCAGGCAGGGAGGTGACCAGAGGCCAGTGTCCTCTCACGGGGAGGAGGAAGGAGCAGAGCTGCCAGGAGAACGGGGCTTGTGAGAACCTTGTCAGCAATGACTAGTGATCTGGTAGGATCTGGATTTAAATAACAAACTGGGTGGGCCTCATGATCACGCGAAGTCCTAAAGCACCAATAAGAGACTCCGGCCTAAAGTAGATGAAATCTCAGAGCTCCGTAACCACCCCACTGACATAACGCAGAATGACAAAATGGATTACTCACTGCGGCCATCGAAAACATTACTCTAAAATGTGGTTCATTTCATACCTACACTTTACAAAGTAAAGGTAATATGCAGTGTTTTCTTTAAAGAAAAATCTTTTTGATGCTATAGAAAGAAGAAACAACCTGAAATCTGCCAGAGGAAAATCTCCAGTACAGGTTTTAAAAATTAAGGGACATCACAGAGCTAATTATGTTTGAAAGGCACTTAGAATTCTACTCCAAATTTAGTCAGCTACTGGAAATCTGCAAATTCCAGAGTGATTATGGCCAAATTCAGAAGAGCTTTGGGATTTGAATTCAAAATTGTTCTCTACTTAGCAGCTTAAAGGGGTCATGTAAAGAAGTATGTCTTGTAAGAAAATGCAGGAAAAGAAATTATAGAAGGGGATCACCATAAAATATTAATAATGTGTCTTTATAATCTTTATAATAGGTTCTCCAGTGACAGGATCTTCATTATTTCCACATAAAGAATCCTTCCCTTAATCAGAAGTTGGAAGGAAATAGTTCTTAGAAAGCTCAGGTCAGGGGATTCAGGTCATGGCGGGGGAAATACATTATCGTAAATTATGAGAGAGAAAGTAGACCTTTTCCTTACATATTTCAAATGTATTATATGAGGATGTTTTAGACATCTTTGCAAAGCTTCCTTCGGTCCCATTTTTAGGCTGTGTGTGTGTATGTGGGGACCACAGTGTGCGTGCAGAGCACACTCCATAGCTCCTCCTCCAGTGAGCCCCTCGTAGCATGGGCTCACAGCTCCACCTAACAAAGGCAAAGGCACAGCAACAGAAGGAACTGGATATGCAAAGGGCATCGTTTATCTGCACCAAATTTCCACACCTTCCTGCTCCCAGAATTAATGGCACTGAGTCATAGAAATAAATTGCTTATAGTATCAACCAAATTCACCTTAGCTGCTACCATGTAGCAGGAAAATGAGCAATTTCAAAGTGGAAAATACAATGACACAACTCGATGATTGGAAAGATTATTTCACAGGTTGGCACCTTATCATCTGAAGTTCTCCTTCCTGGGGGCGGTGACTCACACCAAACAAAAATCAAACAAACAAAAAAGAAACACAGAATCTTATTAGAACCATGTACAACACGAAGCAGACGCACTCCTTACCTCACAGCCTCCAGGATAGATTTTTCCCTCCCTGACTTTGTTGAAGGATGAGCCCTTTAGAACATACCCTGACCAGCGAAGAAGGTCCCCGTGCAGCAGAACCCTCAGCAGGAGGAGAACCGTGCCTTGCAAGGCCAATTCCACGAAGATCCAGCCCAGGAACTGCATGTCAAAGGGACTCGCGTAGGAGTCAATGCCAAAGTTGTGGGTCAGGTCATACTTGATTTGATTATAGCAGAGTTCTATCAGCCCTTGACCAAGGCAGAACTGGGGGAAAATCGTGAAGACCCACTTAAGGATATCATAGATGTTCTGTAAATTCTGCACAATGAAAGAAAGAAAAAGTTAAATTAAAATCTATTCTCCTTTCAACAACATATACTAGTTATCTCTTTCTCCCTGTTGGAGCTGTGTCTTAGGTCTTCCCCATCTAATTTTACTCAGTGACGCTCTCACACAGCCATCCAGCTGAAGAGTATTAATCTTGAGATTGAAAAGCTAATGGTATTTGCCTCACTAGGTTTTATTTCCTGGGATCCGTCACCCCTTTCTTCTTTTTCTCCCTTTTGGAATTGGAATGTCTATGCTATGGAGGCCCTAGCTTTCTCTTTTGGGAACACGTAACGTGTTTTGGGACTCACAGGCTCACAGCTGGGGACAATTAAACTTAGGATGTGCCTTCGAGTGTCACCCATGGCTGATTCAGATGGCATTCGTAAGTGAGACTTCAGGGTTGGTGGAGCGACAGGTTAAAACTCCGGTGGCTGTTGAGATGGAGTGAATCTCCAATTTTACAGGTGAGAAAGATATGAATCTTGGGGGTCCAGAGGCAAAATAAAATGGACAGACTATGTGTGTTCTCCTCTGATTTATATTTTAAAGTCATTTCCCCAATGTGACAGTATTGGGAGACAGGACTTCTGTGAGATTGTTAGGCATAGATGGGATCAGGACGGTGGAGACCCCATCATGAAACTACTGCACTTACAAGAAGAGGAAGAGACCCTAACTCTCTCTGTGTGCCCACTGTGTGAGGACACAGTGACAGAGTAGCCATTCGCAAGCTCCTAACAAGGCTCAGCAAGACTTGTGTGTAACATCACCACAGCCTTGGACCCTTCCACCTACCAAACTGTGAGAAATAAATATCTTTTGTTTATGCCCCAACTCAGTAGATTTTTTTTTGTCTGTTCTGTTTTACCATCCTGAGCAAACTAAGACACACGAGTAGCATCAGTGCTCATATGTGAGGCAAGTGCTACAGAAGCAGGCCATACCCGGAGCTGGGACCCGGAACCTTTAAATAACGTGCATGCCTGGTGAATTCTTAGCACACAGTAAGCAGTAAATATATACAGTCATCATCCTAAGCATGGAACTGTGCAGTGTCACGAAACCAACGATGAGGGGGCTGGGGATTTAGCTCAGCGGCAAGGCGCTTGCCTGGCAAGCACAAGGTCGTGAGTTCAATTTCTGGTACCGGAAGAAAAGATCAAAAAAAAAAAAATTAAAGTTTCCTTTAAAAAAAAAAAAAAAGAAACCAACGATGAGTGACGGGGGGAACAAAGAGAACTCTAGAAAAAATAAAAATGTAAGATAAGCTATAGAGTTGAACCTAATTTTCTAAGATTGTCTGTAGCACCTGACAAGTATTCCTCTTATTTTATACTGAGATTAAAATGATTACAATGGTAAGCAGTTGTCCACTAAATGTTTTTGATAAATCATGAGGTGTCACCAGCTTTACTGCCCTTTACCACATTTCAGTCTTTCAATAAACATACATGGTTCCAAAAGGTGAGCTGGATTACCAGAGAGGAAACATGGTCAGTGACAGATGTGGACACACCAGACCAGTACGAGGGGGCTTGTTCCTCACTTCTGGTTCACAGCACAAAGTCTTCCCACCAAGAAATACAGCCTTTGGAGAAAACCCACTGAAATGCTGACCTACTGAGCTGACCTTTATACTCCAGACAGCTACTTTAAAGCATTTAACCCAGAAAGGACACATTAACTAGCACTACCAAACAAAGCCCTGGAAAAATAACAAAAATTCAGAGTTGCATTTTACAGTCTTTCTCTATTTACGGTCAAACTATATAACTGTTTTTAATATATGCTCATTTTGTACAAGGTAGCAAGAATCATCAAAATGAGTACTTATAACACAAGACTGTGTTCTACCAGAAACAAGCAACCTATGGAACTGTCAGTTTTATACTTCATACAACACAGAGTACAATTTTTCATTATGATACAAACTTAAAACATGGTTAAACTAAGAAATGTGGTTTGGGGACAACAGAAAATACAATAATAACTTTTAGGGTATTTATTAACATAAGACGGTTTGTTGTCTAATATATATATAGAGAGAGAGAGAGAGACAGAGACAGAGAGAGACAGAGACAGAGAGGGAGAGAGAGAGAAAGATGTAGAGAAAGTATAAAAGCTTCAGTTAATTCTTAGTTTTTTCTTGACTGCAACTGTTAAAAGTTTCAGTCAGTCCTAAGAGAGTTCGTGAATTCCATTTTTTGTGAAATCATGTTCCGGCATCACTGAATGCACTACAATAAAGAAGCTTGTTTTGGGGAACTCGGGTAAGCTGCTGCTGGACCCACACAAGCTTGGGACCAGGCAGAAACCAAGACAGCTTTAGGGGCCTGAGGTCCACTCCCCACCCCTCCCACCTCCCCACTTCCCCTGTCCGAGCTGAGCTGCACCTCAGACGGCTTCAGGAACTCCAGTGAGCTGCTGCTGCCCCCACACAGAGCTTGGGACCAGGCAGAAACCAGGGCAGTGGTGGGGAGAATCCCAGACATCTTCAGGAAGCC